AACTCACCTACATCTTGGATGGCCTGAGGGTGAGTACATTTTCATTTTTGTGTGAACTTCACGGCATCTTAAAAAATTTAAATGCAGGATTCATGTGAGATGCTTAAAAAGCCCAATGCTGCATAGTAGTCAAAGACGTCCACCTTATGTTTAACCTAGGTTACATCTCTGCAAGATGCAAGCTTAACAGTCTAATATGTCCATCTAGCGCATTTATACTAGCCAAGACAAGGTGAATAGCTATCAAAAAAAATACCAAAATACAAAGAGCTGTATAGGATAATGGTTAGTAAGATAAATCAAATGATTATATATTATACACTTAAAGAGGGGTATGGGTGTGTTTGCTATTATTATAAAGGCAGGTGGTGAAGAATTAACCTAACATGAAAATATGTTTATTTACAATATTTAATTCCAACTTTTATGTTATTTACTCTGTCTACCTTCTATTTAGAAAAGATGAAAGTTTCTGAAACTGTGTGGTACAATGAGTTTTTCTCCAATCACTCTTCTCTAGCATGTGCCGGGCAGTATTGCTTTCCTTCCTCAGATGTAAGGCTGTGTCCATTTTGTGCCCTTTATCTATCTGAACACTACAGTGAAAGTAATGCCAACCTGAATGGATGGCTAAGTAAGGGCCACCACTGCAAACATTTACACACTACCCAGGGAAACAGCAGAACAGACTGCTTTACAGAAATTCAGGGAATGTGGTTTAACACATTTGCCAGTGCTGGCACAGTCATCAGGTAAAGACAGACCTGACATGAATCAAAAGAAATTACATTAAAAGCCTGATGCAATTACTTGCTACAGAACTTTTGAAACACCACAAGATGTGTAGAACAGAAACTGTAGGTCCATTTCACATGAACAGCCTTTAGATTGCATAAAAAAATTACTGAATGGGCACTGGCGAACATCTCTCTTTGTTGGTTTGAAACCCAGAGGCCTTTTCAGGCATAAAATCAAGTCCAAAGAGCATCATATGCCAATGTAGTCCTACACAGCAGAGAGAACAAAAGAAGACAAGATTCCTTGAGAAATGGGAAGAAACCAGTTAGTTTCAACTACTATTTTTTTTTCAACTGCACATTCATTTCAGGTCATGAAATGCTGAAACTGTTTGTCATAGGCACACTCCACACCACTTAACAGAACTGTCACCAGGAAATGTTCAAGACAATTATTAGTGGGAAGACTGGGGACAGTCCAAGCTAACGGCTACAGATAAGAATATAAGGATGCAAATCGGAAAACTGCTGTGCAATCAACTTAAAGGTGCAATAGGTGATTGTCTTCAGAAAGAAATTTTGTTATGCTGGTTGAAAGTCTCTTCACATCCCGATAGCAATCATTAAGTTAAGTGGTCTAAATGTATTTATCTGTATTTATATATTCTGTGGAAGGCGTAGGATCAAGAAATGTTCGTCCAATTAAAACGCTCGGTCCGAGCGTTTTAATTGGCTTTCCTACCTGCCTGTCAACGTATGTATCTGCATACCTCTGTGCACCTGGTTCGCGCAAACAGGATACGTCATCAGCGTGTTCAGACAGTGTGCAGACAGAGCGAGAATGGCAGACAAACATCAACAACCCAATCTTCCTTCCTGGTATTGTAGTACTTTTAAAGTTTTCTCATCGGTAAATGACAAATGATGTAGCCCAGCGGTTCCCAATTCCAGTCCTCGCGATTCAGATAACCAGCTCGTTAGAAGTGAGCATGAACTGTGTTCCGATCGATATGATCCCTACACAGTGTTCATTGCTCCCTCCTCCCTGAGCGGGGGAAATCCGTTGAAGTTTACTTCACTTCGGAACATAGGCTGGAATTGGGAACCACTGATGTAGCCTATTGTAATGTTGTCTCTGGTATTCTGGTCTGTGAGCGTATATGCGTTCAGGCGCGTGGCTTTGGACGTCGATTGCAGGGAGGGTGTGACGTTCGCTTTCAGTGCTATCAGGCTAAAGTTAGCATTTAGCAGGAGTAGATCTCCTACTGCACCTTTAAGTTTCATGCATTGTCATTGTTACAAAACGCATGCAGCTGTTACGAAGATGAACTGGCCTCTCTTTCTCTTTATCTATGAGAACAAATAACTTTTATGCAATGAGTGTCACTTTGTGCTTGCTTTTGTTTTGATGATGCACCAACGGTGGAGTCCTTAGAGTTGTTACCTGTTAACCGTCTTACATTAAAGAACCATCTTAAATGGTCAGCCTGATTGAAGGAATAAGACCAATAATGATCCTTTACTCCACTGACACTTATAGCTGTTACCAGAAGATTATAAGTTTAGACATGAATGATACTGTGCTGCCTCTGCTAAAGTTGAATATCTAGACAAGTCTGATCTGTTAAACCGAGCATCAGCATAGGAAAATTATTATCTACGACATCACTGCATTTCCTAAGGAGAATCTGGTGAAGGTAAGATGACAAAACTTTTTTTTTTATGCTAAGAAAGCATTATCTGGTATCATAACTTACAGTAAGTGCAACAGGAGGGGATATGCATATTAACTTACACAGTGAATAGTGACATACTGACCCAGGAACCTTTCTTAATGTCCATAATCCTACTTATATTGAATACCAATGTGATGGCTGAAATGATCACCTGTGTGTATTGCAAGATCTACTTAATGCTTGCTTTATTACAAAAGTGCCCAATTTGCCTAATCCTCTTCAGCACAGTGGTCCTGTGGGAAACTGCCCCAAGGTTTTTCTAGCTTAGTCAATTTTCTGTGCCAACCATGCAGTGGGAAAAAAAACTTTTATAAACTACTTTTTTAAAGTATAGGCCAAAAGTTTTTTTAGACATAGAATACATTTGATTTTTGCATGTCAACTAATGATATCATGATTCATAAAAATGGTATGAAGGCTGAAGGCTGATGGACCAATCCTTAGTTACAGAAACTGGGCCATTACTGAGGTTACAATCCTGCTTTATTAACCATTATGGCCCTGAGCAGAGCACTTAACCCCAGGTTTGCTCCTGTGGGTCTGTCCTTTCCATTACATATACAATACAATCTAGTGTACTATGGGTTGATATGGATGATAATTACTGATTAAATTGTAAGCATTGCTAAAATCTGGGATATGGGTGGTTATTAGAGGCATGTTTAGAGAAGGGGGAATGACACATATAGGTGAATGCATATATGTTTTCAGGCAAAATACATTATAATACATAGCAGGCCTTCTCAAATTCTGCAGGCTTGAACAAACTTAAAAAAAAAATGGTAGGCCAAAAGATCCACTAGTAACAATTTTTCTGAAATCTCTGCAGTAATATTTTAAGCATACGATAGGGGAAAAGAGAAATCTCCTAGATGCAATGAAACAATTTGCCTATAATCTATCAAAACGGACAAACAATATAAAAGTCCCCATAATAAAAAGTTAAAGAGTACTGAACTAAATCACAATGGTGATTGGACGTGAAATGGTCAATTGACAAAATCAAAGTCCTTGACACTTTTCCCCTCAACATTAATGCTGCATGTACAGAACAAAACTGCACAATCAACTGTCTAAAAAGGCTCACTGATTAACTCAAAGAGTCATATCACGTCACAGAAGTGTCAATATGTATTTTGTGTAGGGAGATGGGGGAGGGAGGTTTTAAGAATGAGATATAGTTATCTGTGAACTTAATGTGTGCTATTATTAACTGGGAAAAATGAACAATTTAGGGAAAAATATCAATTGGTAAAATAAATATCACTAAGATAGGGATAAAAAAAGGTCAAGAAGACAATATGTACGCCATGTTTGTCAATTTTGGGTATTTTATACAATTAACCATCATTTTACTGCCATTAAATCATTTTTAAACAAGTCATCAACTGTTCAAGGTCATAATGATGTTTGATCCTGCTAAGCGTCATGATTCAGCCATGTAATATTTACTCAGTGGTTTCAGGCCCAACAATATATAATCCACAGTGTGCATGCTGATATAACAGTCCAACAATACTTTTGTATCACTGTGCTTGTGCTGTGGGGATTTTTCAATGACTCCAGTGACTTTTTGCAAGTTACATCATTACACTAGTAAGTGGTGACCGTAGACTGTAAAAAAAAAAAGGTGGATCTTATCTTCCATCCACTGTAAAAAAAAATGAAGAGAGAGAGAGAAAGCACCACAATAATGTCACCAGACCTAGAATTGTCATTTTTGCCTTGATGACATCTAAAAATAAACCTGAAATATACATCAGGAGCTTTTTAGAAAAAAGTTTGTAAATAAACATAGGCACATAAATGTATATGAACATAGTACGTAGCACAACATGTGCATATATCCTACATAGGTATTTTTTAAATCTGATTGATAGTCAGATTCAAGCATTTACTTTTGTTTTTTGATCAGATTATTTCAGATCTACACCACCCTTACGAAAAAGAAGTTTATTCAAGTGTGCTATTATAGAAAGTGGGCCAATTTAGTCCCAAGGAGTATTGAAATAGTACACTTACAAGTATACTACTAGTACACTGATATTTGTATACTTACTACATAAAGTATACTTATAAATATACTTGAACTTTACTTAAGTATACTTACTAAAATAAACTTGAAGTATACTACTTTTTGGTAAGGGCACCCCTGATCAAAATTTGGATCAAGCTCATTTTAATGGACTGATGTGTTTACATGAAGGATTTTCAGTAAGATTAAGCCATTAATACTATTACTAATTGTTTGGTTGCATGTTAATGTAGCTACTGAATAAGTCATTTGTTAAAAACCATTATTCATTTAGTAACAAAAAAAAAAAAACAGACAAATATTGTTGGGTGTTGTAATGGATCGGTTAATAGTGGCTTTAGAGCTATTTTCATTGGTAAAAATTGACAAAGTGACTGACAAACTGTATCTAACATGTAATTTACTCAAAATTAACCTCCTGTTTATTGAACTGTCGTATAAAAACAGGTTTCCTCCTATATGCCAATAACTTCTGTAATAGTTCTAACATGATGTTTCTTCCGAAGACTTGAAAACATCTTTTGTGCAACTACATTGCTGTGACAACTTACCCTATTTTTTTTTAGTGTGTCAACCCCACATACAAGTCAAGTTGTATCTCTTTTCCTGGGCATCAACAATGGAAATGATTTTTTGTATCCAGGACTTCAAACATCACCTACATATTCACTGGAATAAAACATAATTTCATTAGATTAAGAAAACGGCATACTATATGCACTATATATGCACACGAATACCCTTATTATAGTTTTGGCGAAAAGACATTTTCTAATTTGCTTACACCACGAAACTCTTCGGCTTTAGGACCCAGCAGCGGTCAGCGAGGCACAGAGACCTTACGGTGAATCACTACAGATGACGGGAGGAGCCCTATGTATCCGTATCAACCAGGATTCAAAGCAGCTCAGCGTTTTAACAATACTTCAGCTATTATTGTGTTTAAATTAACACAATATCACTCGTTTAGAATGACACTAAGAAGTATTTCTGTACCCTGATGAGCTGCACGGAGGTGTGGTGGTCAGAGATGGAGCACATCAGAATGCCAAAGGTAAATCTCCAGCATCCATTCAATGATCCAATAATTCCCTCTTTCATGACATGTACCTCACATCTCCACGCATTGCTTCCACGTGCTCAGCATTAGTAAATTGAGGTTTTATTATGGTTTTATTTAGTGTGACTTTAATGTGATCTTGTAAATGGAGTCATTCGCTGGATTCAACTCTGAGACCAATGTGCAAGGATAAAAATACAAGGGCCTACATCTGTTATAGTTTACATTATTTATAATGTAAAGAAAATGACTGAAAAGCCATATTCAATTTTAAGTTTTGCCATTTGATCACAGATAATTAAAACATGCAGTATCATTTCAGACCAGAAGGATGATGATCACTAATATATGTTTGTGAGCTGGTATTTTAATGCATCACTAATACTAATGTTGTCTAATTAACTTGGTTATTTTTCACAGGTTGAAAATGTCCGGTTAGTGGACAGAAGTTCTTCTCGAAGAATTAAAGTAGGCACGCTCTACCTGACAGCCACACACACTATCTTTGTCGGTAAAGGATCTGAGGACAGATGTGAGCTGTGGGTAAGTGTCTGATGTGTAAACTAGCTTTGGCATTTTTGGTATGTCATTGTGCAGAATTTCTGTGTTCTAAATATGTACTACTTGTCTTTTTATAAGCACAATAACTGACACTTTATGTTTGTTTTTCACAGGTTCTGCACAGTTTGGTGTGTAACGTTGTAAAGCATAAAGCATCTCAGAGCGGATACCCTTTATTAATCCACTGCAAGAACTTTCAGGTCATGCAGTTTATCATTTCGCAAGAGAGCGACTGCCACAATGTTTACATTTCACTCTCACGTCTCTCCAGGCCAGGTGGGTCACCTAGCATGCATTTTGGCATTGTTTTAGAAATATACTGTGATAACGATATCATTGCAGACAAATCAGCATTTGTGTATTTAATACAGTTTTCAAAAGTAATTCAATTACTACACTGTTATGCTTATTTCAGTGTACCATGTTTTTGTTTTCTGACTTGCAGAAAAATATGAAGAGTTGTATTGTTTTTCCTTCAATCCCAATGTCGACAAAGCTGAACGGGAGCACTCATGGGACTTTTTAGATCTGAAGGCTGAGTACAGTCGAATGGGACTTCCAAATAAGCTATGGCATGTCACCCCAATCAACCGAGAGTACAGAGTTAGTATATCACCAACCATCACTACGTAAATACAATCAATATATTATGTAAGTGTTTGTTTTTTTAATGCACAACATTTCTTCTTGTAACACAGGTGTGTGATACTTACCCAGCTGACTTGTTTGTGCCTCAATCTGTCACCCTCCCTGTCATCATAGGGAGCTCAAAGTTTCGTAGCAGAGGTCGATTTCCCACGTTGTCATACTACTGCAAGGAAAACCATGTGAGTCTGGCTGCACATCTGGCACATTCTCTCTGCAGTCTTGGTATTCATCTGCCTTTTTTAAAGAGGCTGTGGAGAATTTTGTCCTGTCCTTCATATGTCCTTGCCTGCCAAATATTTTGTCATCGGATTGAGGATGTGAGTTCAAGGTTCAAGAACACAGTGTTCTTGAGACTTGAGTGTTCTTATATATATATATATATATATATATATAGATACCTAATTTCTGATGAACCATTAATATGATACAGCTTGATTTTGCATTAAACTCCAACTTGATTTGGTTTCTTTACAAAGAAAGTGCACTGTTCTACTCTCAACTCAAACTTGCAGTCAGTTAAACATTAAATTGTAGTTAATTTACCATGGCTAGATACTAAATGTGTCATGCAGCATGTGCGTGCATTGTGATTTACAGCAATAATGGATATTTTAAAAGCAAGGTCAAGTTCTTTCTGCACCCTCTTGGGTTCGGCACTCTTTTAAAAGACATTTCATTTCATTGAGGTCAAATATTCCCATCGGAGTCTCTGTGTTTCCTTTTGGACACACGAATTCAAACCACATGGAGAAACTTGTGTGTGACTTCCACATAAGGATCATGCTGGTGAGGCCTAAAGGGGTCAGTTATAGTTTAATATCTCCCCCATTCATGGTTCGTTAACCCCAAAATATGATTAGAACAGTGTCTAAAAAAGTAATAATGCAAGCTCAGCCTTTAGAGTTTTATGAGACCAGGGCCAAATTCTCATGAAGTGCCCATTCCACAGAGAGGACAGTGTGATCTTTTGCTCTTTAAGTTGAATTTATTAATCGAGCATGACAGGATCAGACTGGGAATTACTCTTAGGCTGAATTATTGCATTTTACTCGATTGAGCAGAGTTTATTTTAATGGAAAGTATTAAAATATAATTTAAATTTAAAAATTAATCTTTTTATTTCAATTTTTACAAATATATTAAAATATAATATTTTATTATATTGTATTCAATTAAAATGTATTTCTTATTTATTTTAATTTTTAAATGCTGGGGCCCCTTTCCCATTTGTTCAGAAAGCTGAATTTATTTATCAAGCATGAAAGGACCAGGCTGGGAATTACTTTGAGGCTGTCCAGTGCACAATTTTACTGCTTGGAAAACATTAAAAACTTTGTTTTATTTATTAATTACATTTAAATATTTATTTGTGTACATATTAATAATTAATAAATACATATATTTCTATATTTATTTTAAATGTTTTTTTTAAAGGACCACTTTCACACTAAAGAAACACTGTACCACTAAAACTATTTTGTCCAACACTTATTTGTCATGACTTCACTTTTCTAGGGTACCTAATGAACAAGGACCAATACTGGTGCCCATTAAAAAAAAAAAAAAAAAACATGACACAACAGGATACCAACATATGCTAACACCTATTCATACAATGTCTTTTTTTTTTAGGCCACAATATGTCGCAGCAGTCAGCCTCTCTCTGGCTTCAGTGCTCGCTGCCTGGAGGACGAGCAAATGCTGCAGGCCATCATGAAGTCTAATCCTGGCAGCAGATTCATGTATGTTGTAGACACCAGACCCAAGGTCAGTCCACTTTATATATATGATATAAATATATATATATAAATATATATATATCCAGTATATGATGGACCAGATAGCAAAATTACACATGAAAGACACTTTATGTAAGACTCTCCTTTATTTCCAGCTAAATGCAATGGCAAACCGAGCTGCGGGCAAAGGCTACGAAAATGAGGACAACTACTGCAACATTAAGTTCCAGTTCATCGGCATTGAAAACATCCATGTGATGAGGAACAGTCAGCAGAAACTCATAGAGGGTATTGTCTCCATCTTATTAAGTGAGAAAATTAATTTCCCCATATAAACCACTGTAGTATTATGCTCCGAAAGATCCTTCTGTTAAGGTTTCAAAAGGTTTTTTTTTTGCAGTAGTGCTATAGAGAGACTATTTTTGGTTCCCCAAAGAACATTTCAGTTAACAGATTTTAAAAGAAACCTTTTTTTCCCTTAATGTGAAGAACATTTTAATATTCTGCAGAACCTTTTTACACTATAAAGATCCTTATGGAAAAGGTTAAAGATCTCATGCAACCATGGATGCCAGAACTGTTTTTTGGAGTGTAGACCAGCTTGAACCAGTAGCAGCTCTCCTTCATTTCTTCCCAGTGCATTTAAAAAACCAAGACTTAAGACCACTTAGCATTTTATTCTCTATAACAAAGATGTTCTGCAGTGAACCATTGATTGTACCACAGGAGAGTTTCTTGGCAAAGCAGATTGTGTTGTAGGGGTGCTTTGAATCCATCTGGGTTTTATTCCTCGCCTATTTTTGTTTTGTTGACTTGACGATCGGAGACCCTTTTGCCCTGATTGAGAAAAGGAGGGCGTGAGAATGAAATCTTCCAGTGTTGAAGAAATAATAGTGGTACTGGGTGTGATAGCATTTTGACTCAGAAAACACTAGGGAGTCATCTGGTCGAATAATTCCAGCACAGACTCTGCGGCTGTTTGAGATCTAATTACAACACGCTTGATTCTTCCTAGAATGGCAGTTTCCTTAAAATACTGTACAGTTAGTTTGGTCTCTGCCACCAAGAGTGACCAGGTTTGTCAGTATATTGGCTTGAGCCCTCATCTGGAGTGTTCTCATGGGACGTCACCAGCCCTTAAATACTCTTATCACATTTGAACTGTTGGCATATATAAAGTTTCAGTGCTCTGAGGGAATGTTTATGTTTGTTTGGAGAAAAAGAATCAATGCCACTTTTAGAAATACAAATTCATTTGGTTGTCATAATAACTAATGAGCCATAAGACAGAACTGTCATCAAGCCAATTTATCAGTTATGCATATTTTAAGTAACATAAATAAAGAGGACACTCACAGAGGATGCAACATATGAGTCACTAGCTTTCTCTGCAAAGCCAAAGTAAATATTTAGCACTTTAAAGAAGACGTCTCTAAACTACGGATATCCAAAAATATTCCTCATATCAGTTCCCTATTGTAAATTCTCAATAAAGCTCCTGGTTTTCATCAGATCGTATATAAACTTAACATTAGCAGTGAATTTGTCTGGATCTTCTCAAAATGTCTGTTGTCGTTTTTGTAGTTTCGGCACTGCGTTCTCCCTCCATGGGAGAATTTCTCATGGGGCTTGAAAATTCAGACTGGTTGAGACACATCAAATCGATCATGGAGGCTGGAATCTTCATATCTAAGGTAAAAGATCCCTTTGAGAGTCCTTCAGCCCATGCATGGGTGCTCTGGTACTGATTTCATGTTCTTGCGTGCACAGGCCGTGGCAGAGGAAGGGGTCAACGTCTTGGTTCATTGTTCTGATGGCTGGGATAGGACGGCTCAGGTGTGCTCTGTGGCCAGTGTGCTTCTGGACCCTTACTACAGGACCCTCAAGGGACTGATGGTAAACGAGAGCATACTGCATTGTAGCTTGTAAACTTTACTCCAAAAGTACAAGTCACAGAGTTCACAGTGTAAGAAGATGCATAACTGACAGGCTGCCTGTGTGGGTCTTACTCATTTAATCATAAGGATTGACTCTGGCTGGATCTCTGCTGGAGAGGTTTCATTCAATAGCCGGGCGCAGTTTGGAAAATCATATCTTCTTAGAAATTTACCCTCATATGGGGTCAACATAAAAGGAAGAACATACTTTCTAGCACAGATTAGTTCTGTCTGAGAATACCATCTCATTTCCTGATACACTGGTAACAGAAGGTACAGTATGTGCAGATGCATAGAATTAATTTGTGACCCATTTACAAAGATGAAGTGTGTCATTTAATGCACAACCAGCACTAACTAGAATTGCTGAAATATTGCTTGTTTTCAAGCAGGTTTTACCAGCAGTTCCTGCCTTTTATTGATCAACAAAGCAACATGATCAGGATGCTCAAACAAATAGATCAATGTTGTGAAAGCGCCAGTGTTTACACTTTTTTTAGGAAGTGAGCTTACAAATGACTTACTCATAGTTGGTTTCTGCTTATGGAACTGGGATAAGAGGAAGAATCTTTACATCGGAATTGACATTTTGCCTTTAAACAGTTCACAGGTACACTAGCTTTCAAAAGTTTGGGGTTGGTAAGATTTCTTAATGTTTTTTTAAAGAAGGCCTGCACCAAGGCTGCATCAAAATACCTCTTTTTCAGCATCATTATTCCAGTCTTTATTGTCACATGATCCTTCAGAAATCATTCTAATATGCTGATTTGGTGCTCAATAAACATTTCTTTTTATTATCAATGTTGATTATTTTTCTTTGGTGAATAGAAAGTTTAAAAGAACAGTATTTATTTGAAATAGAATTTTTAAAATATAATGTCTTTACTGTCACTTTTGATCAATTTAATTCATCCTTGCCGAGTCAAAGTATTGATTTCTTTTTTTTAAAAGAGCTTACTGATCTTACTTTGGAGTGGTATTTTATTCTGTTTATTTTATGTGTAGGTGCTGATTGAGAAAGACTGGGTTTCTTTTGGACACAAGTTTTCACACAGGTTGGCCTCCATTGAATAATTTACAGAGGTTTTCTGATGTATTAGCTCAAAAGTGCTCATTCTAAATGTAAATGACTTTATGGCATTTCAGATGTGGTCATCTTGATGGAGAAGCAAAGGAAGTGTCACCTGTCATAGACCAGTTCCTGGACTGTTTATGGCAGCTTATGGAACAGTTTCCCTGTTATTTTGAGTACAATGAGAAGTTTCTAATCAACATCCACAACCACATCTACTCCTGTCACTATGGCAACTTCATTTGTAACAGCCAGAAGGAGAGGAAAGATCTGTGGTAATTGTCCTGTGTATTTGATGGCATGATGTCAAAACTTAATTTGCCAAAATATATGATAAGGGGTATGTCAGTATTCTCTGCATGTATTGAACACGTTTTATTGCATGTGTTTTTTTGTTTTGTTTTTCTGTAGCATCAAAGAGAAAACTCATTCCATATGGCCTCATTTATGGGAGAACAAGCTGGATTTCATGAACCCTCTGTTCAAACCTGATCAGAGCCAGAATCAGGGACTTCTAAGGCCCAGAACTGCCCCCTACTGTTTTAAGTATGTCATAACATGTTAAATTGTTTTTTCTTCTCCACAATGAAATATACACTAATAATACATATTTTTATTCTCTTTATCATGCAGTTTTTCTCTTTAGTCCTAAGTATTCATTTGTTTTTAAAAGTCAGAGTAACTGATCTATGGTATTTATGTTTGTTTAACTGCAAAAATTGTTTGTCTTTTCTGTGTTTAGATACTGGAGAAGGTTGTATAATCGTTTTGATCGTGAGTTGCACCCACGTCAGTCTGAGCTAGATTGTCTGATGACTGTAAAAGAGGAAACGCAACAACTTGAGGAAGATCTGGCTCTCTGTGAGCAGGTAGAACACCAGATATTTGCCTAAAAAATCATTTGATTTGAATCTCTTTTAAATCACAATGAAATTGTGAAGACCACCTTGTTTACTTAAAAGAATAGTTCACCCAAAAATGAAAATTTGCTGAAAATGTACTCACCTTCAGGCCATCCAAGATGAGTTTGTTTTTTCATCGTAGCAGATTTGGAAAAATTTAGCACTTGCTTACCAGTGGATCCTCTGCAGTGAATGGGTGCCGTCAGAATGAGAGCCCTGATAAAAACATCACAATAATCCACAAGTAATAATCCATTGGTGAGCAAATTATGTAATGTTCAATTTCGATGAAGAAACAAACTCATCTACATCTCGGATGGCCTGAGATTGAGTAACATTTCAGTAACTTAATCATTTTTTGATGAATTTTATTATGCATGTTCCTTTAAATATGCGTGTTCTACAAATGCAGAATTATCATCCACACAAAGTCTGCCTTTTTAACTTCAGTGATCAAGTATTTTACCTTTGCAGAAACTGGCTGTTCTGGATAAGGAGCGTGCAAAAACCCTTTACATGCAAAAGGGTGTGTTGGAGAGCAAGCAGGCCCTGTGGTCGTTACCTTTAGATACAAGCCTGGCCAATACTCCTCAGGATTACATCGGTGGCTTTATAGGTGGTGCTCCCAATGTTTTCACCCTACAACAAGGAGAGAGAGAAAGCGCAGAGCTTTGCCTGTTTGGAGACAAACCAAAAAGCTCTGATGCTGACAATAGTGACCAGGAGTCAGGAGTGGCAGATTTCAGCTCCCATTCTTCTGGTGAAGAGTCCTTGCCAAGTGAGGACAGCGTGAAGGATCCTGATTCGGATGAGACTGGCCCCAACAGAGCGTGAACAAATGCAACATTTTGCAAGAAGAAAAAGCTATTACTGTACCTGATCAACTGTATGTGATCTACTTGATCTGCTGTATGTGATCAAGATATGAGTGTGGTATTTCAAATTATGCAAAGATATTGGACAATGTGGACATGTGTCTGGCATTACAGAAGCATGTCTTTCTGTCTGAACGTGTAATACAGGTGTACTATATAAAGAGTGATATTTTAATCTAGTATATATTTATAATTTCTCATTAGCATGAATTCTTTCAAACATTAAATACTTGTGTGCAATAAATTATCTGATCTTAATTTTTTGAATAACATGAATATCTGAAAATTCTGTTCATTGTGAAATGAATGTGATATTTACATTAGAAATTACTTATTTAAAGCTATTTATTTCTTAGTGGATTCGGATGGTCCTTGGATAGTTTACATAGTGTAAAACATTTGTCTGGCACAATGATCTTTGTTGTTTGTTAAAAAACTAATTCCAAGAAACGCAAAGAACCAAAAGAAACCAGACCAAATAAGCATTGAGTGAAGCAAAAAATATATTAATACTAATGTATACATTTAGGAAATTAATGTTTTCTTAAATTATTTTGAAGGATTAATGGAGACAGTTCTCAGATTTAGGTCAGTTTAGATCCATATTGCAGATTTCCTCACCTATTACCATGTCTTAACCTCTCACTTTGTCACGAGATGTGTAATGTTGATACAGTATATATAAAAAATAAAGGCATTTCTGGAAATTGAGTGATCTAGTTTTATCAATATTATTTATTTTATTTTTTTTGTTGTTGGGACAATATAATCACAGCTCACATTATTGCGTTTATCCCAAAATCATTTTTTTTAATTTTAACAAAAAACACAACCTTTATAAGCAAAGAGACAAACAAAACATTCAAACGGGGTTGCAACACATGAAATTCTGAAATTATCTAAACTGTATTATCTTATAACACCATAGAAGAGTCTTACCACAGAAGAGAGTTCTTTAAAGAATTCAAATATATATATACAGTATCTCACAGAAGTGAGTGCACCCCTCACATTTTTATATATATATATATATATATATATATATATATATGTGTGCACACAATATCTAAAATCCCACAAAGAGTTCAAAGGTCACGCGTCGTCGTGTCGTGACGTCACGCTGCGCTGGAGCGCTGTGATGTAGTTCAGAGGTGGCAGCTGGTTGTTGATATCGGTGTTAGCCCGATAAAACTATATAAAAGTAAAGAGCAAGGTCCCAGTCCTTTCTAAACAAGGTGATTTTGTATTACAGAAGCAGTATACGCTTTAAGTGTAACTGCCTTGTTTGAGGAAAGGTAAGTCCTGACAGAAAAAATGAACTTTGATCATAATAGGACAAACTTTTGTGGCTAGGCTACTAGCTAACACGATAGCCACATACATAAATAAACATTCACCCCGACACCAAACAGCATCATTCACATCTTACAAGAGGGATTATTTACAAAAAAAAAAAGAAAACTACAAAAGCTGACTGTAGACATGATTTCAGGACGTTTGCGGGTTTTTTCTTTAGTTGTTTAGCAGATGTGCTAGCTAGTGCTGATAACCTGTCAACTAACAATAAATGATTTGGACATTTATTAGCTTAATGACATAAAACGACATATAATAGGTTAGAAAGGCACTTTAACAGGCATGTATGTTTAAAAGCATTTTTTTGGCACACGACCAATCTTCTTACTTGTTTTGCTGGCATATTGAAGTGATTGCTGCTCCTGTTAGCCTGCGACCATTTAGTCTCATCTAGCACTTATAATGTTTAGTCACAGTTCTACAGTTGTTGTTTTTTTGTGTGTGTGTCTGAATGATTGTCCTTTCAATGCTTTCATGAAGCAAGAATAGTAGATGAGTAGTCATGTTTACTAAGGCTGAAGCATATGAAAATCTCCCTGTGTTTATAGTCCTCATGATGCTGTCTGGAATGATAAGGATGAGCTAATCTAATATCTAGTTTGAAGTCAGTAAAGACACGACTAATGATTTACCAAAGTCAGTCAGCCAGGCCATGACAGAAGAATTATCCATAAACCATAGATACATGTAGTGTTTTTGTGTGTGTGGATCTGAAGCTGCTGTAGTAAGTGAATTTCCCCGGTGTGGGATTTATAAAGTCCATCAAATCTAATCTAATCAAAATATATTTGAAAATATATGCAGACCTGTTATTGACCATTGCAGAAAATACAATTTTGTTCAAAAATAAACAATTTGGTCATACTTTAACGGGACAGCTTCTTATGTTGATGTTATATATATATATATATATATAGACATTTAATATTTTTTCTTCCATTTACTCTGCAATTTGAAGTTGTTGTTGTTTTTTTTTGCGCATTTGTAAATGGTCTTTTGTATTTTGTTACCTTTTTGTTTATGGTTTAATGACAATAAAGTGATTTGTTTTAAATCAGCACCTTCCTGATTGTCTGATTGTGATGTTTTGTTTTTGTTGTTTTTTTCAGGTAAAAAGAGGGAACAAGCAACTATTATTTCATGAGAATATTCCCTGGGGAGTGTTTTTTTGGTTTTGATGCCGTGAACCTGGAACTATGCCCGCAGCCACTGTGGATCATAGTCAAAGAATATGTGAGGTTTGGGCCAGCAACCTGGATGAGGAGATGAAGAGGATCCGACAGGTGACCCGAAAATTCAACTACATTGCAATGGTGAGTTTGAACTCTTAATGCTTTATTCAAATCAATCCAGTTTCATTTTTCAAATGTGATCTAGAACTGACTATCATTTTGTAAGTTGTAATCCATATGTTCAGACAGTGCAGTTAATATCCGGTAGGTCTATGTCACTTGCCATAGTAATGATTTAAGTGTCAGCCTGTTGGCAAGGGACATAAAAGAACTGCTGTCATTGTGGAAAGAGAGGACAGGAAAAATGGGAGAATTTCAATCATGAGACACATCAGACAACAACAAAAAAGTCAGTCAAAGGCATTACAGCAAATCATATTGAGTCAAAAATTACTTGTTCGTTGTGTAGATTTAATACACAATAACGTGAGCAAAATTAGTGAATTTTGACAGCTGTAGACGCTACTACTCTTTGTGAATGACATTAGTCACATTGCATCCTGAATGATAAAAAATAAACCAATTTGAAATCCAGTCTGACTGTTCCAGATTTGTTACTGTAAAAAAAATTAAATCTACATTTTTGATAATTGAAATAAAATATAGATAGATGTAAAAATGTCTCTGGCAACAAACTAGTAGTGCTGTCAAAATGAGCGTGTTAACGCAGGCGATTAATTTTTTTCAGTTTCAGTCACAGGGGCGGAGCTAGGGTTGGCCACCCCACTCACAACTGCTGTTTCTGTTTCTTTTTTCTTGACAAGAATTGCGTTTATTTAGATGCAGAGACTACCACATCAAACGGGAGACTTTTCAGAAGCGCTCTACAACTTCACCTCAGCGCTAGTCAAACGAACTCAAAATAAAAGGTACAGGTGACGAGAGAGCTTCAGTAGAACAACAGTGAACCATGGTCAGACGAGTTGCTGTCAGGCCATGTGTAAATAAAAACAAATTTTCCTGTCCTGTCCGCCGTTATACTGTCATGAAGTTATCAAAAAGGCGATTAAAGCTGCCTTAAAACTGTGCTTGCATGTAAGTATTTGTAATATATGAATCACATTTAATAACATGTCTCAGAAATGCAGTGGTTTTCAAAACTGTCCTGGAGCAGCCCTCATCTAACACACCCGATTCAACTCGTCAGCTCATTGGTAAAGACCTGAAGTGGGTCAGAAAAGGTAAAGAGTTGTGAGAAAATATGATGCGTGTCAGATCCGCATCATGTTCAGCAGCAGCGGCTCTTAAAGTAAAAGCACCCAAAAAAAACTAATAACCAAGCTGCTGTGATGTCTTTTAATCAAAGACAAAAGAGGAAATCAATAACTTTTGTAGTTTTAACTGATTCATCTATATTTAATTTAGAATTTAGTGTTTGATAACTTTATCAATTTCTGTATATTTAATTTTCTACTTGCTGAAGGGCACAGGTAGCTAAATATGACATTTATTGTAATGGGTTTATGTGAAGAGTGTTTTAGTTCACTTAAATTAGAAGTCTAATAAATGTTAAAATTGATATGTCTCAATTATCTTGTAATGTTGAATGGCAAAAGTCAATAGTTAAATATTAGGGGAAAAAACTAATTCCTAGAGACATCAGTAGTACTGGTATCAGTGATACTCGCCTTCAGTAAAGATAAAAAAGATGTCATTAAACAAATATTAGTGTCTTTCTTCTTTGTTTCTATGTTAATTTGAAGATTGAATGTGAAATTATTGCAATATAAAAGTATATTTAAAAACTTGAATGTTAGGTGGGATTAATCACGATTAATTTCAGAAAAATATTTAACTAATTAATTTTTTTAATTGATTGACATCACTAATTTTAAACAAATGACAGGAGCGCATAACAAAATTGCTCTTTATTTAAAGAGATTTTTAGTCTGAGGCCAAAAATCAGATATTTTCTGCCTGTCTAAACAAATCCCTTTTTTTGATACTGTGCTATAAATATACAAATAACCATAACAACCATAATGCATTTCGCTGCATTTGTAGGACACAGAGTTTCCAGGTGTAGTTGCAAGACCAATCGGTGAATTTAGAAGCAATGCTGATTACCAGTACCAGCTGCTGCGGTGTAATGTTGACTTGTTAAAGATCATCCAGCTTGGCCTTACATTTATGAACGAACAGGGTGAATACCCTCCAGGGACGTCAACATGGCAGTTCAACTTCAAATTTAACCTCACGTAAGCATTGCACTTTGTAATTTAAGAGGTATGACGCATATTTTAAACAACAACGCATCAATCCATGATCACACTTTAATGTACATAAGTCCATGTTGAAGATGAATTTTCTTGTCTTCAGGTGTATCCATAGCCATCATGTGATTCTTTATGAAAGCTGGACATTACACCAGTGGTACTGTCTTTTGCAGGGAAGACATGTATGCACAGGATTCCATTGAGTTGCTCACTTCGTCAGGTATCCAGTTTAAGAAGCATGAGGAGGAGGGGATTGAGACTCTGTACTTTGCTGAGCTGCTTATGACCTCAGGTGTGGTGCTTTGTGAGGGGGTCAAGTGGCTCTCATTCCATAGGTAATCTTGCAGTAATATTCACATAGTGAAATGAATACAGTGTTTCAGAGGTGATTCAAACCACAACTCCATTAAAAATGGAAGATTCTTCACAGCTTGAGAA